AAATGTTAAGTGACACTGATATAGTTTCATGTTAGGAAAAGATAACACATTTCAGATAAAGAAAGATTATATTTTTCTAGTGAAAAAAAAAAAAAGGACGGCTTTTTTTTCTTTTTTTTTTTAAATCAAAGTCTCTGCTGCGTCTCAATAGTTCTGCCCATGATGAAGCAACATGCAGGCCCAATAATAATGACAATAAAATTTAAAAAACTACTTTAAAATGTCCATTTCTCTGTACATTCCTAATATTTTATTCACAATAGAACGTATTAGTCTTATCAAATGTTGAGAAGGATACCTTATTTTGGCCATCTGATATTTGACTATGGCAACACATCTATAAAGTTGGTACCGGGAACAAGAGGATGGATTTGGAAGTGGAGTTCAAAGAGTCTGCTGGAGGAACGTGTTGCAGCTATTCTGAACATTGGTTCAGTGGCATCATTTGGCAGTTAGCTGGAGACTGAGGCTATAAGTACTATAAGCAGCAGTAGAGAATAAAATAAAGCGGTTTTGGATACGGGTGGATGTTGCTGATGCAACGAACAGACACACCGGCCAGCTGTTTGTGTCGTTTGTGATGGAAAGACCTCATGAGGCTTCTAAGATTTTATAAAGAGCTTATAAAAAGTTGACTGAACAGTTCAAAAGCCGTATAAGAACATGACCTGAAAAAAAACGCCCGCTTCTCTTTCATATGAACTGGCACAAAAGGAAAACTGTCCTGTGGTCAGAGGCATGGAAATGTGAAATTATTTTCTTATGTTATGGATATAACATCTTCTGTACTAAAAAGATGAAGGAACATCCAGCTTAGCACTCATATCTATAGAGTTAGTGTCAACGTTTAAGGGTCAAAGGGCAAATGCCCTCTCATCCAAAGCTCCTCCTCCTCCATCAGGTAAAGACTTTCAGATTTCAGCAAAACAATCCTAAACTGCACTGTGCATCAACCACTAGGATGGACTTCACAATAGAAATATCTAAGTGCTTGGATGTGTGTTTGCTGGGCGGACCTGAAAACGTGGTTGATCATAAATGGAAATATGACAGAGATGGTCAGAATTACACTCAGCCATGTCCTGACTTTTAGACGCGGGCTCCACCCATGACATGCAAGATGAGCTGATTCTTTTTGGGTTTCTTTTAATAGCTTAAAATGTTCTGATTTTCTCTCTTTTTAAACTAAGAGATTGGTTTATAATATTTGCTAATTATTTTTCACAGAATCAGAATTTCAGGAAATACAGATTCATCTCAGTTTGTATTTAAAACTGAAAATATATATTTTTTCTAATAATGCTCCTTATAGATCAACATACCTCACAGCATCAATCACTAAAGGACCAGTACAGGAAGAGACGTTCAGGCTCTCCTGACAGACTGCCGACACGTTCAAAAGCAACTGTTAGGACCACAGTTAGGGGGGCCTGGGGGGGTTTTGTCCAACGGTGTGAATCCTGAGCCACACTGATGGAGCACCAACTCACCTGTCGTCACTCCACACAGGGAGCCGTTTGTTTGGGTTTATTCTTGCTCTTCCAGCGTCCAGAAAAAATTATATTCTCGTGAGGTCCACTCGTACAGGAAGTGTAATTCAAACAAAGCCTCTTGTTCGTTCTGCTATTGCAAAAAAGAAGAGGCTTCGAGCAAAGGCCAGAGCCCCAGGCCCCCCCTCCATGTCCTGGGGCCACCCGTTTTCCCCTAAGCAGAATGAGCAGAACCACTTTTCAACCAGGCAGAACTTAATGTGGAGAGTTTAGAGCGAGATACACAGGTTATGTTGTGCTTTACACACACAGATTATTTGGATTTAAGGTTTACTGTTTTCCCATTTTGTGGAGACGAGCTTAGAGTTGTTGTAATGCAGCTACACACCGTTAGAACTGTGTGAAACCTCATCTCATCATCCTTTTACTTCTCTCATATTACATCAATGACATAGAAAGAGTTCTTGTAAGACAGTTATTCAAAAAGAAGAGCTGAAAGACAGAAACACAGGTACACCAAAGGGCCAAAAGTGCAAACTGCTTGAGGGGCAGCGAGCTCTCAACCAAGCCAATCACTTTAACTGATCTTTTCTGGTGATCAGCTCAACATTCAAGCATGAAAAGCACCTACCTGCCTAACAAAACGGGCGCCCGGTTGGTTGAGGGCTGACGCGATTGCTGGTTTGTAATCTGCACCCTATAAAAACCACCATGAGCTCAGTTGTTAAAAAGCTCATTTCCTTTTTGACATGCACTTCTCAGTCAGGCTAGCGTTGTTGTAGGCTTACCTGGTCTCCCACTTTGACAATCCTCTTCCCAATCTGACCTTTTAGTCCCAGCAGAGGCCAAAAGTGGCAATCACTTGACCACGAGACACGAGCAGCTTTTATTCCAAGAGGTGCTCGGTCTAACAGCCCTGCTTTGTGTGAAAGGTTACTGATGGCTCATTTTAGGCTTTGATACCATTCCTGCCTTTGATTTGTTCATTTTTGAACATTAGTAGTTTCATATTTAGTTAATCTTTAACACTTACTGTGAACTCACAGCTAATCAGGCTTCCCCGCTTAATGGTTAAGAAATTAGGTGTATGAAATCTAACAAATTCAATAATTGAATAAATGATTAAATAACAATGCCACCACACATTTTGAACAGATGCTGAATATAAAAAGGATAACAGAAGTGCTTCCCTGTACACATACCACAGTATTTAAAGTTTTTTAATTCCCACTTTATTTGAATAAGATAAATGACACAGTACAAGGTAACTGGGTGGAGATGTAAATACTTTGCAGGAAAGAAAGAAGTTATGAAGGAATAGGCACTGCTCAATGTGAGGCCTATCAGCGGAGGAGCCTATCTGAATTGGGACAAGGGAAATAAAAACCTAATTAAATCAAATTGCCTATTTGTTGAACTGCAAAATTCTGGTATGGTGCAAAGAAAGTGAAAGTTTGTGCTTTAAGTGAGAGGGTTGTTCCTTATTGAAAATAAAATCTAGAACTCTTTATGGCATCATGTCATCACGACAGACCGACTCCATTGAGAAACCTACAACTAGAAGAATCCAGCAAACCGAAAGAAAAAAAAAGTTAATCATTGAACGCTTTCAGTCCTGATATCAAAAGTGGAGACAGTGAATACAAGGAATGAATACAATGCTGCAGACCAGCGGAGTATCAGATAACAGCCAGAGGAAAAAGATCTTTAGTGGGCATCTACACAAAGTAAAAAAAAAAAAGAATAAATCAATTCTAATTTAAGTTAGATACTAACTTATATTAATTAAATGCAATCCTCTTAAAATAATGTAGGAACATTACATGAGAAAAGATATACAGACTTGTCCACTTGCCTTATTTTTTTAGGCTTAACGTCCCTAAAATGGATTAAACTCAGCTTGAAATTTGTGACAAGCCTCCTTGGAAAATGGCCTTTTCATTTGCTTCACATGTATCCAAGTGTGAGCTCACCACTCATTTGTGCTTCAACAAAGGCCTCCGACATGCCGACATGTGAGCCAGATCTACATCAGACCAGCTCAGGTAAAAATAAACCCTGCTAACAACTAAACTTTGGACTGAACTTTAAACTCTCCACACAATAGGTGATGCATTCTTAGAACCAAAGGCTGATTTTGTATTCCAGACTGAACACTTCTCTCACACCATGATAATGTCTGAAACAAAGGTAAATGCTTCTAACTTAAATAGTTTATTTAGTATTGTTTGAACTATCAATCCACACATATGGTTAACTTTAAACCATATAAAGCCTCACACAACTTCCATTAATAGGTTTGTTTCTCAGTCCTTTGTCCTCAGTAAGGACCGGCTAATATTTAAATATGATCCAGTCCATGTCTGGTGCTCGGTTTGATAAAAAAAATCTCATGACCGTCTTACTGTTTGACATTAGATTAACTTTCTTCAGACTGAACGCCTTCACTTCTCCAGATGTCACTGCCACCCGTGTTCATTTTACAGACAAATGAATCACAACTCAATTTCATTTAAAAGTTTACAGTTTGTTTTTTGTGTTTTCTTTATGCCAAAAGAGTGCATAACAGTCCGCAATCTCTGGACACAGTGAGACCTGATCATAAAGATCCCAGTTAGATTTTCTGTGTACGTAGGGGTCGAAGTCAAGTAAACTGACTATAAAACACTTTTAGTCGACCAAAAAAATCTAACCGAAAGGAAAGAAAAGTTTTTTTGGGGGGGCAGTGCCAATGAACAGAACTGAATTTTTTTCCAGGGGGGGCCAGCTTTTTGGAGACAGAATGTTAGAATATATCAGGATGAAATTGCAGTTTGAGAGCAATTACAAACTTGTGAAAAAAAAAAATATATATAGGAGTTCAACTAATATGCTGAGCTTTCTTCCTTTGTTGATTTGAGGAACTGTACAGATGTTAGTATGTAACAGCTGGGCACGATGAAAGAGGTGAACACTCAAATGATCCAACAATCACAGAATAAAAAAAGTGATTTCAGCATTTTTGTATCAGTTCACAATTCTAATAGAAACTGGCATAAAATTAGTTTCCCTGGCTCACAAAGGGATGAGATTTTTTAATCAATAAATCAATCATCAAGCTTGATATATTTCATGTTAATACTGACCTATGTTTTAATCAGTTTATTTATTCAACATGTTGTAACTTGACCAAAAAGGTGTGTTGATTCAGATAGGCTCCACCACTCAAAAGCAACAACTATTTATTTCTTTACAGCCAATATAAGAGGGATTGATCACAATCTCTCTTCAAGGCCATTAAAGTAACCAAATAAGACACTTTAAGAATGAAAAAGAAAGTGTTTAAGGATTGCATTAGCATTACCTGAATGAGAGCAGCCACAGTCCTATCTGGTACCATTTCCAAAGCTCCATTTAAAGCTGCCTTATTGTTGAGGTCCTTACCATAATTCCAATCTAGACCAACATAAATGACATTAAAATCAGAAAAACAATGACTTCCAGATTGACAAAAATAAGATCGAGTTATTGTCATAAAATACAATAAATAAGAAGAATAAATATGCTTTTACCAGGATTTAGCGACTCTGCATCCAGCATCCCCCCTTCACGAAAGCTGTCCAACTCCTCCACTTTAACTTTGTTCCAGGGAATATATGTAACTCCCCGCTCCACATCCCAGAACTTTTTGTGAGCTGATTTTATACCTTTGTTCAAAGCCCAAGCGATCTAGGAAAGAACAACATCACATGTCATCATCATGCACTGCAGCACGTATATCCGCTGCATAATTCAGTTTTATATGACCGACAACACACCTTCACTGGTTTCTGGTTGACTTTGTATGACCCTCTACTGAGTTTGTTTAAAGCTGTATTGGCATCTTGTCTATGAACCATAACAATATAAGCACAACCTCTTGGAGGAATCATCTGAAATAAAAAAGCAAAAGTTAAAATAAAGACAATAGAATTAGGTTAAATCATTGTTTTACTAATCTCTTTGCTAAATACCAGACTTACATTGATGGACTCAATCTGGCCAAACTCTTCCAACAGGGACATCACATCAGACTGCTGCGTTTTCTTGTCTAGCTGTCCAACCCAAAGAGTAGTGCTGCAAACTAAAAACAATGAGGATTAAAACAAAAACAGCTTAATCTCTCCAAATTTTCATCTATAAATACACAAGTAGATACATTTGAAATCACAATGATGACTACATTTGTACTTGTACAATACATGCGTCGTAACGGGGTATAAAATGTTTTTATAGTCGCTTGACATTAGAATAGTTATTTTCTATAGATTTATTTCCGCCTAATACTAGCATAAAATGGCACAAAGGGGTTGAAAAAAAAACAACAACATACCACTGAGTGTCTGGCTCTTTATGCTGGGGAGACCCCTCTGTCTGCGTTCTCTGTCCTTCTCTCTTTCACTCCTGTCCTGCGAGTTAGAGCGAGATCTCCAGCGTCGTTCCCTGGAGTGAGAACGCTGATGCCTCGGCCTTCTAGAGCGAGATGACGATCTTGATCTTCTTCGCCTCGGAGATCTAAAACAAAAAGCAGAGCACAATGTCAACAAATACTGGTAAGACACCACTAAATAAGGAAGAAAAGACAACAGGAGCAAAGTTCAGTTAAGGTGAGAACACAAACGTGCCAGGCTCAAGACTTTCAGTAAAAAAGGAAAAAAGGGTTGTCCCTGTGTCAGTCAGGGAGATGAATTATGAATTATCTCATGAGCTCAGCTGTTACCTGGAACCAGACCTGGATCCTCTGCCATAACCTCTGAGTCTGCCTTCCTGCCTCATGGATGAGTTTTCTCTTGAGTTTCCCCTCTGGATAATAATGACATTACATTGATTTATACATTTTCTTTCCATAATAACCAAAGAGCTGTTACCAAGTTAAAGAGTCATGTCTGTCATAATCTTTCGGTTTAAACATTCCTACCACTAGTGATAACTGGAATAATCTTTAATACAATAAATACCTAAATAAATACCTAAATATAAATTAAAGTACAATTAAATGCTCACCTGTGAGTGAGAGTATGTCTCATGTGTGGAACGATAACCATCTGGTATCAAATGATGTTCACCATGACTTGATCTTCCGCTTTGCTGAAAATTGATACAGAAGCAACCAAAGACAGGAGTGAATGGACGTCGCAGCAACACTTACTGGAGTCAATTTCAGCTCACACCTCCATACAAAACTCTATATATATACAATTATAAAGTACTGAAAAATAAAAATAAAAATCGGGAGCTAGATGTATTAAAACAAATGTAATAAATAAAATAAAAAAGACAACTATGTGCCAACAAGTGATGGACAGCTATTGAAAAACAAGAGAAAAAAGATATCTAAAATGAAATGGCTTTTTACCTTTATATCCCCAGGTTGTCCCATCATGTCAGGATGATAATCTGTGTTCAGCCTCTGACCGGGGAACTGGTGTAGCACATCGTTAGAAATGCCCCTGTCATAACAAAACACACACATCAATGAAACATATACTGATATAATCACTTCAAAACATCAGCATTTCCAAATGTAGATAAACTGTTCCGGACAATTTATGAACCGGTATTTGTGATGTTTGATAAAACACCAACTACAATGTGATAAATTCGGCAAGAGTAAACTCGTAAAAAGATGTTGCTTATTTGTTCTTTAATTTTCAATAAAAATACATCAGAATCAGAAATACTCTAATAATCCCAGAGGGAAATTATTTTTATTAATTGGGATTAAATGTTCTGTAACTCACTGAGACTGGACGTTGGCTTCTGAAACGGGCTCATCTGGCTCGTCATCATAGTCGAACCGATCAAGGAGTTTCTGAGGAAATGTTTGTTTGGTTAAGTGAAACAGCAATAACACCACAAACAAATCCTTTGGAGCACTGAGTTATTCTGTCACCTCGGCTAAAGAGTTTTTCTTCTCGGTTTGTTCGCAGTAAGCGTTGGGCTGGGCCCCTGGCCTCTGTGGCGGGTTTAGCGAGTTGCTGGCTGCCAGCGTCTTATCTGCCTGCTGAAAGTTCTTCAGCATCCTCTGCAGCTGTTGGAGGGACAACCGCAGTCAGCTGAGAAACGACTCAATCCTGAAGACCACTTTGGTGAATGCTCTGCTCACCTCCTGGCCGTGGGGGGACTGAAACAGCTGGGCCACGGCGGCCAGAGCGTCGGGACTGGGGAGTTTGGGCAGAGCAGATCCGACCGAGGCGTTAGAAACAGGAGGCTGAGTCTTTGGTTGGAGGTCGACAGGAACTGTTCAAACACAAAAAAACAGTGTGTTCAGACACAAAGAGGGCATTATTTCTCCATGCTCAGCGCTTAAGCACTTTGTTACAACCCTGGTCCAAACGGATTTTGAGGACTCTCTTTACCTTCCAGTGTGGGAGGAAGGGCACTGACACCATCAGCCATACTCATTAGAGGCTGGATGATATCCAAGTCAAACACCCCATTCTTCTGCCACAGGTTTAGGACGCGGACGATTTTAGTCTGATAAAAAAAAAAAAAAATGCAAGGTTTAGATCAAGATTGTTTTATCATTTGATGACATGATACTGAAAGAAGGAAAAAAAGTACCTTGTCGTCCTCTGGACAACGGTAAAGGTTTTGGAAAGTATCTGTGAAGTTCTTTAAGAATCTGGGCCCAAAGACGTCCTTTTCAACACCAAACTGGTGGCGTGATTGTCGAACAATGGAATCAACCACATATAAACCAGGCACTTTTAATTCTGGCTTGCACTGAAACCAAGAGCAGCAACACAAAAATAGTTAATTTCTCCTGTCGTCTGAGAGCTTATAGCTGAACTTATATGTGTTAACTAGACAGCAACTCGCATACGTCACATACCTTTTTTATGAACTTCTCCACAATTTGGACAACGTGTTTGTAAAGCTGAGTCAAATGAAAAATAAAAGTCAGTTACAGAAGACGAGATACTGCAATTGGCAGGCAAGACAGAGCAGAAACAGAAATCAGGAATAACAATGTGAAATTTATGGGAAAATATTCTGATTTCTAAAAGTCAACAACAACATCAGCTGATTGCTAAGTCATTGATCCATTTTGTGGCTTTATTCATCTAAATCAGATGAAGCCATAGTAAGAGAGGCCTGAGCCAAAGTTTTGATCCACGCCTTCCTTTATTAAATTTGCTTGTAGGTAGTATTACGTGTACTCTCTTAAAGAGATCTTGAGCAATAGTGCTCCTGGTCTGATGAAGGTCACATTGTCGGTTTACTCCTTATGCCTCTCCTTTTTTTAAACTCAAAGTGTTTTTGGTTCAATAAGCCATTTAACACCAACCCATGAAGCATTCATGCAAATAAAGGGCACCTAAATCAAAGCAGGAATCAATATTCTGTCTATAAATAACAGAAAACTTACATCAAAATGAGTTTATATACAACAAGAAACAAAGAAAAAGGACTGAATGACACAAAAGTTGAGCTTAAAGTCAATTGTATGAGGTCTTAGATGGCAAATACGCCGGCCATTTTGGTCCTTGTATGACTGAACTATGATGTTCCCACAATGGCCTAATTATTTAAAGAGGCCTAATAATATCAATTATCCAAAGAGCTCTGCACTTTTCTGCCTAAACAGCGGAAGTTGTCACTGACTAAATGTCCCCAACACACATCATGAATAACACTAGAAGTTGTACGGCAAGTAAAATATGCTTCTTAGGTTTTGATGGGTTGCTCATATACAGACAGTCTTTGCACACACTTTCTTGCAGCTCTTTCTGTTTTTCAAGCGAGTGACTTACACAGCAGGCAAAAGGTCCCAGACAACCAGCTAATACGACAACAAAATAACTTGCACACAGCTCACCATTGTAACATCGAATTTGGGCATGTTTATGACGTCAAAAGTAGCATTTCTGAACATAACTTTCAATAAAAATACTGTTCAATCTCTGTTTGAGTGTTAAAATTTGCCCAAGACATTTCACAGTTGTGTACTGGCACTTCAAACTCACAAAAATACTTCTTAATATTAACTCTTACACAATACAAGTGAAGAAAAACACCAGTTCATTCATTTTGATTGCGAATTAGCAATTTATCAAGTATTTATTTAGCATGTTGACATTTTTCTAGTAGACATTTGTATAAAATCAATCATTACGAGTGTTCATTTTCGTTATTTATTTTATTATTGTGAAGGCATAACATTGTGCCACTAAAGATTGAATTGTATGACATTCAAATATTTACAATGGTTCCTTGAGATAAAATTATATTTACCTTGATAGCTTTGATGGCTGATTTTGTTACAGACATCATTTTAGCACGGGATATTGGAGGCTTCATGTCAATCATGGAGAACAACTGAGGAGTTTTGAAGAAAAAATATTTGTATCAGATCATCTGAAGTAAACATTATGACATACCTGTAGTATATCAGGCATTAAGAACACATGCAAGGGGAAATATAGTAAACAAAAGGACAGTAAGAAAATATTTCTGTACAATCAGGACCTCTAAGTTCTATTTGAACTATACATAAACACACACACATATAAATAAATACATTCTATATATATATATATATATATATATATACACAGTATATCTTAAACGGGGCATTCTTTTGTAAATACGTTATTTTACAGTGTACACACACAATCTGGCACCTTTGATTAGGTTTGTGAATTTACATCTTCAGTGCCAGTACATACATGGGATTTTCATTTTTTTAAGACTGTATGCTGAGGCCAGCTACGAGCTAGATGTAATGCCAAACTCATGCAGTTAATATCCCTCCAACAAACAAACCACAAACATCCCCAGACAGCGGCAGGACTCAGTGTCATTGCAGGGCTGACAGTTATTCAGAAAAACGGATTCAAATCCGAGTTAAACTAGTTAGCCAATGCTAACACTACTTTGTAAGGCTAACGCATAGGATTACCTCATTTTGAAGAAAGACATTTTATTTCTGAACAATTTGTTTATATTATGAAATATCAACTGTAACTATCCAACCTTGACAGCTGGAGGAGTGTTTGACACGAGCGTTTTACGAACATGTCAGCTTTTTATACAAGCTGCTTTTAAATGGTCGTTTAAAATAAACGTTTCCCCAAGAATTGGTCAGTTCGGTAGTCTGAATGGAATGTGTTAACGTTTACTTCATAACAGAACAACTAAATTCATGCAAAAACACTGTCGGTTAGCATCAGGCTAGCGTAGGACACAAGCTAGAGCCTCTAACGGTGGTAAACTTTACCTCCATGTTGAACGCGTTCACTGCATCCATTGCGGTTTGATATTATTGAGAGCAGATTCACAAGCGTGTATATTCTGTCATAACCAACGCTTAGACGTACAGTTACATGTCGAACATCAGAATAAGTCTCGTGGAATATCTCTACAACTGTATTTTGATACCTGTGTTTCCCTGGAAATCGCTAGTTAAGCTAAACTAAATTACTCTTGGCCTAACGATTCTACCCAGTGGACGTTCTACACAGTTCGTGACGTTTTGATGCCGCCTTCAGGGCTATCAAAACATCCTAAATTCACAGCTACAATTAGACGTTTATCAGTTGTTTACAGATTATAGGTCTCTTATCCCCTGCAAGTTATAGGAGACAACTACGAGTTTTTGAACCCTCCCTGTTTATGACTAATGTTTATGGTGAGATGTATTCACTCTAAAATAGGCACAAACGCATTTAAATTCTACTGAATCTAACACGCAAATGTCACACATCAATTTACCGGAACTTTGCGTAGAACTTGAACGTCGCAGCTGCACTTCACGTTGAGTGGTCAACGCTCATCCGCCACCTAGCGTTCTGGGGTGTTTCGTGCATATTTTTTCGACGTAAATAACACAAAATTCTCATAAAGAAATAGCATATTCTGTTGTTAAATAGATGCAATATGATAAACGCAATACATAGCGAAACTATAACAAGGGCTCTCAATTTCTCAACTCATTATGGCAAAAAAGTGGAACTTTTTAGATTTAATTTTTCTTTTACATCCTATTGACGAACTCACTGCCTCTTTTTGTCGGTTTCCACACAGTCCTGAGCAACACATTCTCAGAACTGACCGCAGAACAACTGAAAAGGAGCTATTTTTTTCCTTCTGATTTTCTCAGGGATTTCTGAAATCGAAAAGACTTTCTACATATCATTTCACTCTCTGGTGGAGCCAGAACAGCGATGTCTTCCTCCAGAAATCAGACGGCAGCTGTCAGCAGTAATTCTACCAGCGATGTTTTCTATGAATGGGAATACTATTATGACTACATCGAACCCATGGTTGTGGATGAGACCAAGCTGAAATACAACAAATGTAAGTTTGTCTTAAAGAGGGTTTGCATTCGCCCTTTTTTTTGCTACAGAGACCATTTCTTTTCCCTTTCTTTCAGACTCCATTGTCATAATACTTTGGATATCCCTGGCAGCATTTGTGGGACTTTTGTTTCTCAGCTTGAATCTATTATCCTTCAGAGGAACCTTGTAAGTATGATTTATTATCTGTGATGGGTGTAAATAATTTAAAGGGAATGTGAATTCACTTACACAAGCCAGTAAGTTCTCTTAATAATGTCACAAAGTTTTAGTTGAACTTTTATAAATGTAAATTATGCAGTTCTTGCAGGAGACAGAAACCCAAAATAAAGAGAAACCCCAGTGCATCGAGTGCATGATGAGAAGCTGAAGGTTAGTATTCTTGAATAAATATATACAAACTGGACGTGCATTTGAAATCACTATTTATACGATGTAAAAATGATTAATCATTCCAACCATAAAAAACAACTGCCCATTATCTTTATTCAGTCACAGACCCCTAAGGTGTTGCAACATTGTAAATACAAAAAATACAGAAAATGCATGTTTTTTTTGACAGTTTGTTAAAGTACAAAACAGAAAAAAATGGGTAAATCTACATTTAATGAATTAAATGTTAACAAAAACGTATTTGGTCACTTCAAAAATGAACAAAGCGGAAAAGGTTTGAAGTTGGATATGGTGTCAACACTTTAAGCATTTTTTTAACTTGTCATGGTGATGATTTCATTACAGATGGCTCTGAGAGCTGTTTGAGTCTTTGCTGATTTCGACGTTTTCTTCCTCTTGCGTTTGTCTCCGACCACCAGAGTGACGTGAGACAGGAACTTTTCCGCTGAAGCACCCCCGCTCCACGACTCATGGACGTACAGCGACAGCAGGAAGCATCCAGCTGCTGGAGAGAAGAACACAAGTGCTTTTATTCACAGCTCAGCTCTTTCCACCGCAAAGTGGCACAAAAGGTTCAGACACAGAGATAATAAACACGAATCGGTTCGTTTGCCAGACTGACTGAGAGTCTTATGCTGAAACCATCTATCCTCTAGACTGTCCTTGCATTGGTGAAAATCTGTTGTTGCTAAATGTTTGAGCCTGTCAAAGGTTTTAACTTAATGCAGCATTTGGAGGGCTATGTTGTGAGACTATTTCTGTTTACACCATTAAGCAAACCCATTCACCAACACCTCTATTAACACTTGTTAACTCATGGAAACAACAGTAAACACTGAAGATTAGTGTTGTGTGTCGTGGGAAAAAAAGAGGCCCGTTGAGGGGGGTCTTACCTCGTCTAGACGGATCCTCACAGGCCTCTGGCACGCAGGCAGAAACCACTGCCCGATGGCACTCTGGAAGCTGACCGCGTGTCTCTAGTAAGTGAATCATGATGCTGGTGAAAAGCTGGATGGTCTCAGCTCTTGCTGCAAACCCGGAGTGAGACTGAGCTTTAAAGATGCGATGGTAGAGGCGGAGGAGGTCTGCTTTCAATCCCGGATCTTGCATTACTACTTTTACGACCTCTTTATGTTTTATCACCACCTTCTCGAACCACTGCAAGAATTCTTTAGCTCCGTTTTCGGCGTTTGCGTCCTCCAGCAGCCACCTCAGGGACCACTTGGCCAGCAGGTGGGCCGTGTCCGTGTCCAGCTGACGGGGGTCCGCTCTGCCTCCGGGCTGATGGGACGGGGGTTCTGAGAGGTCAGACACCGGCTCCCATTGAAGGCAGATCCTGCTGAGGTCCGGTTTACAGTCTGCCAGGACACTCTCTGCTTGTTTCTCGGTCGTGGCCTCCTCGGGCAGATTCTCCTCTTGAACGTGGTTGTGGGAGACGTGGCTCTTGGCTTGGACCTTATTCTTCCCGGTCCCTGGACAGGAAAAAGAACATGGCTGTTTGCAACCAGTTTCTACTATGCAGAAGGAAATCTGTGCTATGAGAACACAACAAGGTTTTAATTCTACAGAAACAGGAAAATAATTACTGACACTGACACTTTTTAATTAACTCATTGACTGCCAGCCATTTTCAGAACAGAGTCCCTCACTGCCAGAGTTTTTTGAGCATTTTGACTGATTTTTCAAGAGCCACAGAATAGTTTGTGCTATGACTATGTAAACACCGAACACACCAAAAGAAAGAGTAGACTCTCTTCTTTCATCAGAAAAAAAAATAGTTTCTACCTTATTCCGTTCTTCCTGGACTTGCGTCTCACCGGCGCCATTTTTCTCATAGCGAACCATTGCGTTTTTTTTATTTGCCTACAATCTATGCTAATCTCCCATCAAAAGTGGCACTGCTACCTAGAGGGTCAATTTGTTACAACATACTCTGTCTAGAAGCCGATATTTACGGAAAATCTTCAGCGGATCGTCCCCCAGCCACTCGCGTTGAAAAACATAAAAGACGTCTATAGACGTCTTTGGCAGCCAATGAGTTAAAAGACACCCACTAAAGCTCATGTAATTATTCATTGTTTTCATATTTGTCACTGATACTTTTGTACATTGGCCAGAGAACATTTTGGCCTTTGTGGTGGACTTGTCTTTCCATCGGCCTTTATCTGTTTCGACACAACTACTTTGTGGAAGGCAGCTTACCCATCAGCTCTTTCACTTTGTGCTTTTCAGACAAGCTTTGGATTTGGGTGAGCAGGGCTGTGTTGTGGGCCAGCGAGGCCCAGCAGAGCAGCACGGTCAGAGCCTCCGGGCAGGAGAGGGGCTGCGGACGCAGCGTGAACCAGTCGGCCTGTCTGTTCGCGCTGTGAGCTGACCCCCGATGGCTCAGCACGGAGCAGAGGGTCCGCACAAACAAGCGCAGCTGAGCGGCCTTCACACCCAACCTGCCGGGAGGACGCCAGCAAACACGCACAGCCTTGAGCAAAAGACGTTTACTCGTGTCGTGTTGAGTGATGGCAGCTTTTTAAACCCTGACCAGCGCGTAAAAGCAACTAGAATTAAATTAAATGTACTCCTAATATGGATGTTGGATGTTCACCTGAGGTGTCTGCTGATGACTAATGCCACGCTCAGAAATTCGTTGATAAGTGGAAGCGGGAGACATTTTCCAAAGCCCTGAGGTGTCTCCTCAGGAGATAAAGAGCCGTTAGCCCCATCCTCCCTCTTCTCCTTCTGCCGGAGGACTGTGAACCACAGCGCGTGGAGCAGGTCGATGGCGGCGCACAGCAGCTGCTGGTTTAGATTCCTGGAGGGGAAATTCGGTGCAGACAAACGAGTCAAACCCAGAGGAACGGACGGAGCAGATCCCCCTGAAACGCGATGGACGATAGGCTCACCTCTTATCCACCAGCTGCACCGTCCAGCTCAGGAGCCCGCAGGCTTTGGTCAGGTTGAAGGCTGCTTTGGTCACTCGCGCCGCCCGACACAAAACCCTGAGGATCTGTGCCTACCGAGATCCCCACATAATTTCCCCACATTTATTTGCCGAGTAGTCGGTGAATTGAATCTTTAAATTCCACTTTTTTCAAAATATCAAAACAAATTTGAGCTCTGGTGTCTCAATTTGACCGCTAACAAGTCCAAAAGTAGCATTTCTACCCGTGTGTACCTGGAGGCGATCATCACAGAGGGCGCTGCTGCTGAACCCTAACAGGATCTGGAAGATGCCCTGCTGGCTGCACAGCTCATAGCAGTGTCCGTCGCTTATCCCGTCTTCAAGCACGTTCAGGATCCACTCCCGCTCCAGCTTATGCTGCGGGAAGAACACACGAATACACGAAGCTCACTGAAAGGTTTATTTATTAGAGGTTTAGTAACTATAAGTGACTTCCACACCAGAAAACTAAACGGTTCAGTTGGTTCATGTTTATGCTTTACCTCCAAGTCAGAGCCAAAAAATAGCCTGAAGAATTCAGGGACCCTTCGGAAATCCAAACTCTGGTGGGACAGCAGGAATCTGTTCAACACCACATACATGTGGTCCTCTGTGGACACAGGAAGGACAAAGCAAGGGTCAGTGCCACCGAATGTTTGCAGACTTCCTTATATGTAAGCTCCGCAGAGCCATTCAGGAGCCAGTGCGATATCTTAGGGGTTACACACCGGGTCTGAGCATCTGCTGGGCCACTTTGCTGATGTAGGTTGTAAGAATGAACGGAAGCCTCTGATTCTGCTGTCGAACTCCATTCCTCACCATATCCATCAAGTACAACAGCTGTGGAACAACAAAAAGGTCTTTATTTCGCTTTGGTTTTTCGGGAACACGCAACGTCTGCGCACTTGAAAAATCACATCTCCGGTAAATCACCTGTCTCTTCTCTCTGAAGCGAGCGCCTTCCAGGTGGTGGTAAAAACAGCTCAGGACGTGGTAGGCTGCTGCCCTGGCCTTGGGGTCATAGCTGCTCAGGGCCATTACCGTCACACCAAGAGCGTGACTGGATACAAACTTCAGGCAGTCGACAACACACTCTGTCACACGCAGAGAGAGAAAAAATAAAGGAAACAGGTTCAAACATTTGAGGATCTAAACTTATTTTGAGTGATGGCAAAGTAGAGCAAAAATTCCTACCTGTCCTCAGAATGGCACTGAACAGAGGCAAAAGAAAGCAGGGATCATACAAAGTCTCAGAGTCCTCCAGAGCTTCATCACCACACAGCAGCTCTTTGTTTTCCTACAGCAGAGCAGGAACCGTCTATTAGAAACTCGACAGATCATCAAACACATCATTTTCCTTCCTAATCGTTATCAAATCATGACAGAATATCCAGCTATACTTCTGAGGCCACGTTTTTAAAAGATCAAGCACCATAATATTTCTGCACAAAACAAAAGACTGTCTTTGGAGTTTGAAGCCAAGAGAGATGTGCTTTGTGATCAAACGCTGGAGTTCTGGGGAGCTGGAGAATGGACGGGATTCAGCCCACGAACCTCCACGATGATCCGGCGCTGCTGTGGGAACTTTGAAACCGTTTGAAGCATCCTGTCGGCTTTCAGGAGGGCCAGCACGTCGTCGGAGCTGCTCTGCTTCCACAGAGAGGCCCCCAGGCTTTTCCGGGTCTTGTGGTGCTCCACGGCCGCCGGCCCCCACAACAAGGACCTGCAGAGCCAATCTCAGCGTGAGCGCCTCCATCAAACTGCACGGGAAACTTTCTTTAAAGGGATAAAAACTAAATGTGCTGACTCACTGGAATTTCAGCAGACTGACTTGGTTTCTTTCATATTCCCGCAGAAGCAGCAGCAAGTTTTGATCTACAAGATCAAATCTAAATTATAAGGAGGACGAGCGGACACAGAAAATATGCTTACTAATCCATATCCGAGGACCTGCTTTACCTGACGCACACATTGTGGCTCCATACGCTCCCAAAAGGACCACAAAGTGACCGACACTACAGACTTCCGGACACTTCTTCACCAGACAAAGAAGAAGAGACACCAATCCCCCTGAGACAGCAGCACAAAAAGTCTGTTTGTGTTTTTTAAAAGAACTCTACATAATGGGACAGCCTTTTCAAAGAACGTACCTTTAGCTTTACACCCGTTAGGCTCTTCATTTGAGCCCAACATGATGGGCAGGAACTGGGAATGGCTGCTGGTCATCGTGTGAATCATGGCTAATGGCATCAGGACCTTCGCGGGTGGACAGGTGTCATATATCCGCTCCAACAGGCCCCGAAGAGTCAGCAGGAAATTATGGTCTCTGTAGCGATACCTAAGACGTGCAGCAAGATTGTTAGTTCTGTCCTTAAACAGGATCACGCCGCTGCTATCTCTAAAAGCTGGCTTAGATAAATATCCTACTTCAGTCCGTTTTTCACAAAACTGTTCCATTCGGCTGCGGCGATATCTTCAGCTGAGGTCTGAAAAAGAGAGACAGATTCTCCGGTTTAACCAGAACGCTAACACCTGCTGATCATCACGAGGAGGACAGACTCACTACGAGTTCCTGCAGTCTTCTAAGGACGCCCTGCTCCTGCTCTGAGGGGGAGGCGGACACTTCCCGGGAGCGGGAGTACGAGGCCGCCAGAGTTTTCAGGGCTGCCGTGCACACACTCCTCCTCCACTCCTCTTTTTCCGCGGGGCGCTCGGCAAGTTTCTCCGTGATAACGTCTACTAGCTGCCATCTGAAAATAACAACCCGTAAATGCAGTAGACCACTTCTGAAAGTGGTTCCTATCTTTCTTTGGGGTTGTTGCACGCTTTACCTTTCGAAGCTGTCCACGTTTTGAAGGGCGGCGGGAAGATTTTGGATCAAGTCCGAGATGTCGTCGGCGTCGGCAGAGAGTCGGATTAAAGCCGACAGAGTCTGAGCAAAATGGGCTCCGGAGTCCTTTGTGAGGCTCCCCAGAACACACCGGGACAGTTTGGGAAGCAGTGCCTGCTTCAGGACTTTTAAAACCTCTTGTTGTACTAAGAAAAAAAAAACAAATGAACCAAAAAAATCATTAATATGGTGTTAGAATAATGGTACATAAGTTATCATGCATTCTCTGAATTACATATGTGAGTGTGTATGTAATTGGGCTAACTGTGCTTGTGTGTTAGAAAGAAGGGTATCTCATAAGCACAAGCCGTTTTGCATATAATGGTGTCTGCTGACCACTGTAGTGACCCTAGAGACAACACTCCATGTTGGCAGCTGAAACAGAGGAACAACTCGACTTTGTTCCTCCTGTTACATCGGCTGTCTTCCTGTTCAATCAGTGCATCCTGTGATTAAGACCAATGTCCAATCAAACCGGTGTGTCCCTACTGTCTTTGGAGGAGATGATGTAACAAATCTATGATAGAGGGGAACCAAATAAATGGAGAGGGGAGCAGCATGAGACCTCAGAGTAGGTTGGAGATTGTAAGGTCTCCGGTGCTCCTTGCAAGTATTCACTGTACTTACTGTGTCTGTCTATTTTTGTCCTCTTACAGCAATGAGTTTAGAAGTGTCTAGGGGCATAACCCTGACATATGGGATGATCTATATTTTGTGACAAAAGAAAAAGGTTCACACATGTTTATTGCATCACATACCCTCTTTGGGTCTGGCCGGGTCCTCTCCTCCGGCCGCCTGGAGATAGGCATCGACCAGCGGGAGGAAGGCCTCCGTCTCGCTGGACAGCTCCTGCAGGTTTGCGGGTTCTAAGCACCACAGCTCGAAGCGGAGGCGGTGGGCGGAGCAGTTCCGGAGCAGCAGGGCGCCGAGGGCCCGGGGGGGGGCGGGGGGGGCCGTCCGGAGGCAGCGCAGCAGCACGTCGGCGTGGAGCAGCGCGGCGTCCGCCGGCCGGGCGGACAGCGTCCGGAGGAGGAAGGCCTCCAGCTCGGGGCTGCGGCAGGACAGCAGCAGGGCGCTCAGCCCCCGCAGGTGAGCTGTGGTCAGGAACCCGCCCTCGTCTCCGCCGGGGGAGGATTTCCACTCGGTGAGGATCTGCAGGGCGATTCGGCCGTAGCTGCTTAGCTCCGACTGACCCCCCTCAATACCTGGACAGATGAGGCTGTCCTGGGGAAGAAGCAGCAATCTGGACAACACCTCCCTCAGACTGTTGGGATCCATGTAGGTGTGTAAAGACAGCAGGGCCTGGAAGGTCCTGGAGTGCGTTTTCGGAGGTTGGGAATCCGCTAATTCCACTAATTCCTTCAGAGCGGCTTTTTCCAAAGCGCCCGTGTAGTTCCCGAGGAGCTGCGGGTGTCCCAGGTCTCGGAGCGCGGGGGCGCCGGCCGTCAGGAGGGTCAGGATGCAGTCGGTCAGCAGCCCGCACAGGAGCTTGAGGCGCACCGGGTTCAGAGAGTGGGGGGGCAGGGCCGACAGCTCCAGGGCCAGGAACCACTGCTCCAGACACGGGTGGCCGAGGGCGGAGCCTAAAGCCGAGACCACGACCTGAACACAGAGATGTTACGGTCAGTTCAAACGAAAACTGAGACGGAAAACATACAACAATAGAAACAACAATCTCTTCAGACCTGCTCTTTGTTGGCTTCAGCTGCTGAGGACTGGTTGAGCTCCAGAAACAGGTCCGATCCCTCTTGGGGGTTTTCTGACGTGGGCTCAGAGTTTATAGAGTTCAGGGACTCTTGTAATTTGGTCACTATGTCTTGGAGCATTTCCATTAGGGTCTTTAGAAGAGCAGCTCCAATGCCTTTGGAGAACTGTAGAAAAAGGATACGTGTTATGTACTTTTTGCCCAACACTTTCCTGGATAATAACGTGTTTCAGGATCTTACCGTGCCAAAGTTCTCCACTGTTGATTTGACGTAAAGTAAAACCTGCTTCACTGCAACCGGAAACTCATCCAGCGACATGGAAGCTAAAAGCTCTTCCGCATCTTTCCTGAACGTCTCCTTGAGCAAAGCGTTTGGTCCTTGGATGTAAGCAGCTTTTAGAAATGAACCGTAGGAGGTAGGGGGTGGCAGTCCCTCTGAGGGGCTTTCAGGGGACTTGAACTGAAAAAAAGACAGAACGTTTTGCATCATTTTGTATCACACGTGGTTCTACAGTCTTATTGTGGCAGTTTGAACTGACCAGCTCATTGTGGCACTGTTTGGGAAGCCATCGGGAGTAATAATGGTGGAGGTGGATGATGGCTGGATGGGTACAGGCGGGGATATTGGCAGAAACCAGCTCTTTATCGTACTGCTGCAGAGCTATGCAGAGGGGGAGCGGCTCTCTCTGACAGTGCAGCACATCTGAGAACACTGCGCACAAATACTCATAAACAGCCCCTAGAGGAGGAAGAAAAGAACCAACGAAAAAATATAAATGACAAAAATATATTTTTCCTGTCCGAGTAGAAGTGACCTGGCACATCACCCTTTGGTTCGTTAGACATTTTCAGCGTGGTTTGCTTTACCCTTGTCTGCTGGCAGTTTGTTTCGAGCCTGCAGAGCTGCAGGCACCAAAGCACTGAAGGGGAAGGTCTGGTTAATAAGGTCCTCGCTCAGAGAAGGTCCAAACTCCTCCATCTCGCCCTCACTGCCCTCCATGATGACGTCCAGCATGTCTAACACGTCTGAAAGCCAAAGACCGCGCGGATTCAATTTCAAAACGTCTCAAACAAAGACACCGCCGTTGGTTCCATCTTTCAGGGGGGGGGCTCACCATCTATGTGTGAGACCGGGATGCTGGATGCGTCGCCCTCGTGGCTGCTCAGGTTAGCCTGAACATACCCCGCCTCCTGGACCAGGCTGGCCACTTTATCTGTGTATTCGTGGGAATTGTAAACCATTTTCACCAAGACCTAAAGTAGGAGACGGGGGTTTTATTCCAGGACTCGAGGTGTGATAACAGGTCGCTCATACGGGTGTCACGGCGGCAGACTTGCCCTCTCCAGAAACTGGATGACGGCCTCCTGTTGGTTCGGTTCCAGCCTGGCCAGCTGGTGCAGCCAGAGCTGGAGCTCACTCAGAGAGTGCTCAAACACGCCAGTGTCATTAAGCACCTGAACGCAGCACAGGAAAAACACAACAAAGGACATTTTCTGAAAACAGAGTTTAGGTAATGACAACATAAATCTATAGACAAAATAAATTATCCTATAATAAGGACTCTAACACGTGTATACTAACAATGTGTTGCATTTATAGGTCTGATGCACCATTTGGACCTATGACGTAAAAAGAGGGATAAACAACAGATTCCCTCTAGCCGACTCCATTTATTTTACGATATAAGACTGACTATCTTGCATGGAGTTCAGCTGAAAAAGGCTCATGGAAAGGTGCTTTACCTTTAGAACCAGCTTCTGTGTTGAGGATCTCAGGTGGCTGTTGGTGCTGCTGCTAACAAACATCTTCAGGAGTAAATAAAGCACCGACTTCTCTCCAGAAGACGATTCTGTGTCTGCAGCATCCTATAAAGAGATGAAGCAGAAGACATTATAAAATTATTATTTTTTTAAAACAGAAAAAAACTAAATCAAAGTAAAATACAAACAAACAAAACGAATAACTACCTGAATCCGGAACCAAGTAAATTTGCTGGCGGGAAGATCTAAAGCCAACTGCAGCACCTGATACTGCAGGACTGGAGGAACCTCTTCCCTCATCCCTCTCTCAGACACAATCCCTGAGACAGTGTGAGATCACCTTGGTTTGAAAATGTTCCATTCAGCAAAGCCTGTTACATCACACTAATAACAGCATTACCTTTGAGGAGCTTGCTGAAGTCAAATTTGCACTGAACCACCAAATGCGGCACCACTTTCTGGTAAAGACAAATGACCTGAAGGATCAGAGCCTTCAGCAGGATGACTTCAGCCGTCTCAGCCGCTGCTAAACAGGAAATACATGAATCAGCCTGTGACAATAATCCGCATTTGTTAATAAGATGAATGAAAAAATAATCTACTACCAGGCTGTTCTCTTTTCTCCTCAGTCTGTTCAGCACTGCCTTCTCCTCTAGTTTTCTTATCCTCACCGTCAGCCTTTTCCTTCTTGCTGAGTGACTGCCATGTTGAAATGATACCTGTCATGTCGGGTAAAATCTGTAGGAAAGCAGAAAAAAACTCAGATCAGATGTGAGTCGCTGAAGTTTTTACAAATCTAGGCAGTGTTTTCCAAAGCTGACCTTCCCAAGCGACTCCCTGTACAGCTGCACCAACTCCTCCATCATGTCAGCGGTGTACACGTCTGAGCTGAGCCCCGAGGCCTTGTCCAGGAGGTATTCCATGTTTTTGTGGGCTTTTTTCAGGATGAAATTCATCATGGACACAGTTGTAAGCTGCACTGTTGAGTTGGCAATCTGTCATCCAGTGAAGACATAATGAACAATTAATTACAATGTAGACAAAAAAACCGCATGACAGCAATATGATGTACTTACACTGAGGCCCTGTGTGAAAAAAGCCTTGTTGCAGACCGGAGGGAGAGACACCACCATGACCATGGACAGCAGGCGGGGCAGGGCGATCAGCTCTCGGCCCTGAAAGACGGCAGAAACATCTGGCTGGGCCTCGTAAATCTGAAAAAAAAAAGACGAAAAAACAGCTTTTCACTATGACAATGTTCTTCCTCAGAAGAAAGAAGAACAAAGAAACGTAGAATACTGACCTTTTTAAGCAGCCTGACGTTGTCCTGCCAGGCCCCCCGGACGCGGGGGGTGTAGGAGTGCTGCGTCTCCTTGAAGAACCGGGACAGGATGTCGGGGCTGGCCTTCAGCACGTTGACCACCAGCTCCCCGACCAGTTCGTCCTCAGTGGCCTGCTTTAGTCCGGCCAGAAACTGGAGCAGCACCAGGTTTCCCGCTCTGGAAGGAAGTCATCTAGAGTGAATGCGACTTTTCAGAGGAATCAAGCGTAAACTGCGAGATATCAACCCTACCGGCCAGCTGTGCCCAGGCTCGGGTCATGGAAGCTGATCCCGTGTTTACGGGAGCAGCAGAGGTCCAGAAGGAAGCTGTGGACAAGTTCCCGGACGACTGCAACCCCAGCAGAATCCGAGTCCATTTTCACCTTACAAAGACATAATGGAAGCTTTTTAAAAATGTGACTTACGAGCTGTGATGGAAATCCAAATAGTCCCGGTGACTTACATTCTCATCATCGACAGCTGCATCCGTTATGCCGTTCCATTTGTACAGAGAGGCTATGCTGGCCAAGACCGCAGGGGTAAAAAAGCGCACTTTCTGCGTTTTGCTAATTGCTTTGTTAAGCACAACCTGCAGAAAACAAACAAACATAAACATACGCAACATTTTCTACATAACAACATGGACACTGAGTTCTTACTCTAGTCTTCAGTGTGGATAAGATCAGGTTGACCGTGGACATCCTGTCTTCCTTCAGACCCGTGTTCAGGATGTGTGGTAGAAGTTCTGATCCACAAAAGTCAATGTTTGACCCACACACACATAAATCTGAGCAGAATATTCAGTGGGAATTTGAATTGCATATCTAATTCTTACCTTTTATTTCTAATATTTGCCCAACAGTAGCACCGTCTCCAGACACCAAAAACGAAAGCACGAATTGGATAAAAGCCTGCCGGACGTCAGGTTTTCCCTGCAAAAAAAAAAAAAAAGTAAATCAATACCAAGAGGAAAAGTGAGATTGAAGCATGCATCTTTAATATTTGGCAACTTCTAACAGGTTAAAGTAAAATAGAGAGGCTGCACCTCACCCTTTTGTCCCTTCTCTTGGCCAGTCCAGACAGAGATTTGATGTGGATTTGACTTAAGACCTCTCGGGCAGCCTCGTTGCCCTGAGACACAATGGCGGACAGCAGGTTGAGGCACTGCCGGACAAACCTGTGGTCACAACAATAAGCTGTGTTAGGCGTGTAACAGTGTGTGTAACAGTGTGTGTGCAGACGATGGATCTGACAGTTCTTACCTGTGATTGATTGAATGAAAAGACCCTTGCAGAAGCTTCATGTGGTTGGCAGCTGTCTTTTTCATAATTGCATTGCCAACCATGCTGAAGTGGGACAGGTCACTTGCTGTCCTTAGAAGGATCATTTCCAAGCTCTCAAAAATCAGCAGCATCTGTCCAACAACAGGGTTTGATCAGAAACGTGAGAGGAAACTTAGGTCTATTCAGTCCCACCGACTCAAGACTCACCTCACTCTCTATGTGCTTTTCCCCTTCTAACAATTTGAATATTTCTGCACACTCCATGGAGATTTTGATGTAACCCTCAACCACATCATACAGGTCAGAAGAAGGCAGCTTCTTAGCAACTGCTATGAACTTCTCCAGCCCTGAAGGCAAAAATAAAATAAATATGAATGATGAAATATATAACACGTATCTATTAGTATCGAAAATGTAAGATATATTTCCAGGTGTCAGTAATAGAATTATAGTTACCCTTCATGGCCGTGGTGGGGTTCTTCAGCATGACTTTAAACTCAGTCCCGTTAAACTCCGGAACCTTCTCCTTTTTGACCGGAGCATCTGTTTCCTCCGAAACTTCGCTGCGGCGCTTTTTGCCCATTTTTACATTCACACGGACACAAACTATAAATCAATAGCAGTCTGGGTTGTATATGTTATTATCGTGGCATGAAATAGCAGTCAAATCGACCCACGTTGTAGTGTAAACATACACGTTACCCCTGCAATTGTCTTCCGCCCTGAAACGTTTCCTGCTGAACTTAAGTTCCGCATTATTCTCCCTAAAGTTCCAGCTCATCAATGACGCACACCATAGACAGTTTTACCTCCACATAACTGTCAATAATCCAGTAAAGACATGTGTGAAAGATGGAAATAAAACCACGGCATTATTACAGATATAACAACACCTGTGTGAACTGAATAGGTTTCTAATGAAACATTCCCCTTTAACCCTTCAATTCAATTTGATGTAAACTATGAATAAAACATAAATCAGTTTATTTACTCAGCAAAGTATACCTTAGTACAATTAAGTTTTATTTGCTTTAAATAATAAGATGGTTGCTGTAAATTTACACTGAATAACATTTTCATAACTGCCTTGTTGAACCTGCTCATTGCTAATTCATAAATTGGAAAATGGTTATCCACATTCATTTACTTTCACGGTGTCATCTTTGCATACTCAAATATTGGGAAGCTTGGAGTGTGTGAGCTGGGAAAATGTCTGCGAAAAACTCATTTTTTTCATGGTCTGGAATATCTGTAGGATCAGTGATAAAGCAAACCGATTCTATTTTATGGGGATGTCTCCCTGACAAATGTCCTTTAATTGTAAAAACAGATTAGGATTGTTGAAACAGGCTCTAGTCTCAGTGTGGTTTTTGTTATTTTTATCCATCTCAGTTTCATATACACCCTGCTCTGGTCTTCACCGTGTCAGCAAAATGTAGGGAAACACACATTTTGCTGAGACCATGTAGACATAGTTGTGGTTCAGCTTTGTAGCCTATTTGAAGGATATGTGGTTTTCAACCAAAGTGGAACCTCTTCTCAGTTATTCTTTCAACAGACTTGTGCACATGTGGCCTGACCAGATCTAAAAGTTGACATCCAAGTGATAAGGGCTAATTTGTGTTCAGTAAAACTTTTTTTTTTTAAAAAGGTCTCCTATTTTTATAAAGACATGTTAAACTGTACACAGTTTTCTCTACAACTACAGAAGAGGAAGCAGCTCAGCTTTTAAAATAAATTAATTTCACACATTTATATAAAATACCGATGATATCTAAACACCATCACAGATTACTTTCTTTTTTCTTTTCATTTGAGTTCACAAAAAATAATAATTTGCTTTAGGTTTGAACTCAGGAGAGAATCATTTTAATTTCACAAAACTGAGAAGAAAAATAACAGGAACAAATTATTTTTGAGGCTGCTGTCTCGTATATTTGTGTAGCACATGTTATTTGATAGTTTTACCAACAGGGGTCAGCTTTGTCTGGATTGAGGGTTTAGTACTAATGCTTAAACATCACACCGACAATTAACTTGCAAGGTGAGTCACAAACAACAGCTGCACCGTTAGCCTGGAGGCTTAGTTGGTCAGATTCAATGCAATCATAAAGTCATACTTATGAAGGAGAATACAACATGTTATATAATTTATGGGTATTGTGAGGTTGGGCCTGCAGAGTCTGCTATTGTCTAGAATGTTCCTTGGGATTCTGGGGATTTAATTATAGCTCACTGCTGTGCCTGCTATAAAACACATCTGCCTGTGGAGTAAAAAACCACCAAGAGCTTTCTAAAATTGAATTTTTCGAATTGACCTAAATATCTGTGATGTGAAGGGACATAAAAAAGTTATTCATGGTGCATTCTTCTGTTTCTTTACACAACAGATACACTGCTGTTGCTTGACTGATATCAAGCAAACTCTCAGGGTGCAAAGTTGTTGTTTTCTTTTCCTAAAAGTCCAACACCCAAGAGTCCCGGGGCAAAACATTGAACCCCACTTCATCTGGTGTAGTCACTGGTATGTGACTGCATTGATGAATGGCAATGCAGGGTAAAATCACTTTGAGGGGTCAGTTTGACTAGAAAAGGAATATATAAATACTGTCAGTTTTTCATTTGCAGTTTGTGTTTTAGATAACCAAAAAGTACTGGAAAGAAGAAATCCAGTGTGCCTCAAGTAGTGGCACAAAATTCTCATGGTGCTGTGCTACTGTTGCTTTGAGTAAATTTAGCCTGAAGAAACAAGAAAGTATAACATGTGGATCAATATTAAACTGCTGTATTTTCACAATCTTGATCATATAGATTTCTTCCATTTCTTTGATCTCACTTGTTTTATTCACTGTTTCATTCAGTCCAGCTATCCCGTCCATCAGGGCGGGCTCATTTTATATAGATTATTCATTAGGATAAGCAACAAAAAGTAAGTTTTTCTATATTGCTGCAGAAGATGTTGTTTGAACTTGCTAACATGGCCACGGGTGGTCACAAATCTATCAATCATATTGTTTGTAACTCCTATTTGAAAGAGAGGCAAGCTGTTTTTTTGTTGTTCTCCTTCTTTTTTTCTAACCACAGTCTACTTTTAACAATGAAAACATGTTACTCACATGACTTCACACATAGCCATCAGTTTGTTATCTCATATACAGTTTAGTCTGTCGCTTTGCTTTTGTTTAGATGCAGAAGCTGTTTAGAACCGACACGTATCGTAAGAAAGTCACATTTTCTACGAAGTGACAATTCCATTTTATTTGAAATAGATTTGCTTCACATTTTGATGGCCACAATGTTTTATACGGGAGGGAATGTGGAGGTGGCACCGATTTCCCGTCCTTGAATGTTGGTTTTATTTTTGATGTTTTGGACAATTGTGCACCATTCCCTAAAATACAATCTCTGTGAACCGAAGTGGTGGGTGTACAAAGCCTGTCACAGCTCTGACAGAGATGGTTAGGCCGTTATAGCTCTGGGATGTAGGAGTAGGATGTTCGGCAGTTCAAAGAGATTTTTGCCACGTGTGATCATACAAAGGCAAACTGCTTCCTTTTATTACAGTGGAAGAAATAATGGGGTCGTTTTATGACGCTGGCCTCTTCTGTATTACAATGTGCAGCAGCATTCAGACTGAATGATATCGAATAAATGTGAAGACAAACACAAATGTCTTTTTGAAGTTCTGAGCTTTTTCATGTCGTTTCATACGTTTCAGATTCACCATTAAGTTAAACACTGTTTTAAAAATGAAAAAGTTTTTCTCTATATTTTTGGTTCAGCTATAAATCCCAAGGTTATTTCTGTTGGTTTTTTCTCTATTATGATGCCAGTAGCGCTACTTGGTCTGGACAGAAAATGCTGGGTAGTTTCCAGAGAGCTCTTTTCCACAGCTGAAGCCACTTTACCGTGCCTGTTTTCACCACGGCGAACCGCAGGCCCTTCTGTGAGGTTGCTGTGCTTCCGTTGTGTGCCTCTCAGAGCATTTCAAGCCTTCCCCATCATAACACTGCAGCCAACGCTGTCGAAGGATCAAAGATCACCTCCTGCTTAACAAACAGCCAGACACTCGGCCTATCAGAAGACATCTGGGAGCGGTTGGTCGCAGCTGCTGGTGGGTGCCCACGCCCCTGAAACAATCGGACCAGATGTGGAGATCATCTCACGTAAGGTGCAGATGTTTTCTGCTCCTCAGAGTCCCTCGCCGCAGCGGGACGGAGGATGCTTTGCGAAGTACAATTAAATTTAGACTGTTTGCACTGCGCCCAGTTCGGGTTTGGTGCCTCGGGATGTGCCACTGGCTTGTGGGTTGTCGCAATTCAGCGAGCTGATTGAAAACAGTGCTGAGTACAGAACGCTCGTGGAAAAGCGAGCAAACGTGGTTGCGTTTTTCTAAATGGCTGAGCGGGAACCACTCAATTTCACCTAGTTTGACCCAGCTGATGATACGGAGAAAAGAATGCCACGACACTATTTAGCAACTTTAGTAAATAAGCAGAGCCTTTCCAGAAATATGCTGCTATGTGTTTAGCACATGACACCTATGGATTTCTTTTGGGATATTCCAGCATCGAAGCATGTTTCACTCATCTTTTGGACAGGGAAACTCAATTTGACGAAGAGGTGTTAATATTAAATGTATCATTCTTATCTGTCTTTTGTAAAAAAGCGACTTACAAAAAGAGGGAACATTCAACTACAGCACAACACATGATTTGAGGATGGTTATTGTTGCAAAAAATACCACACAGACTTTAGAAATTCAAACAGACAATGAAAATGCATGTTTTTTAAATCAGGATCCAGTCTGTACACAGTGTTTTAAAATCCATGGTGGAATTGTAAACCCGATGTAACATCAACATGAAGACACCCACCGAGCGATGGAAGAGTTGACATATTAATGCAGTGGATATGATGTTAATACCAGACCGTAGAGGGTCTGGAGAGTCTTCCGCTCCTGCAGACTCCCTGAGGTGATTAAAAAAACACTTTGGTGGATATTACACCCTGTTTTCTTTCCCTCTCCTCCCGGCCTGTTCTCCCTCTTTCTGCACACCATTAAAACAACATCTTGGGTCCAGGCTCACTGTGCATGACATCAGAGGCAAAGTTCACTGAACTACCCTCCCCGTGACCCCCTCGTCCCCCCTTCATATGAATGAAATGGTTTTACTCCGTATATCAAAGTGAGCTCCTCTGTTTTTACTGGCGGTTGTTCTGCATTCAACATGTCCTCAAGTTTTCTTTTATAGTTTGGCACGATCAGTTAGAGTTTCATAAAAATTGTGGAGGAAAAGAGTCTCCAACCACTTATCAATACTCTGAATTATTTTCTTTTCTTCCCTTTTGTTTTGTTTAATTTCAGTCTTAGTTCAAGTCTCTTCTGCTTCCTGGTCTTTTTGCCTTCCAACCTTGACTTTTTTCCCCACTACCTAGTGATCTTTGAAGTATCTTTGTAGTATTTGTGAAAGCTCTCTGTAGATGGTTGCCCCTGATTTTGTTTTTTCATAGCAGAGCACACTGGTTGAAATGCAGCCATATTTTTCAATATGATTCAATGGTTACATCTTCATGTTGTAATGAAAGTTTAATAAAGACCGTAATCACAACGGCACAATCAGCAAGTCCTTACAACTACGATCCCCTGGACACTGGACCATTCTTGTCTAGCTAAACACTTCTGTCTTGTTT